GTGTGTGTGTGTGTGTGTGTGTGTGTGTGTGTGTGTGTGTGTGTGTGAGTCCTGGGAGCCTGCACTGGGTGGACCCTCCACAGAGAGAAATGTGGTAGATTTCATATAAGTGAGGCAAAAATGGGCCTTGTATAGAACAAATTAGGCTTCATTCTAACTCAGTATGCAGCCTAATACAGTATTTTATTTCAAAAATTGCAGGGTGTTCACCTGCATGAGAGTGGGGACAAATTTTTCAGACAAGTGAACTTGTTTACTGTGGATAAATCCTTCCAATGATGAAGACATTAAATCCCATGGCTGCTCCTCCGAAGAAAGCCCAGACTGTATCAGAAAACCTGGGAGAGTGACCTTGGCCAAGACTTGTTCGGTCACAAGCTGTGATCAGACTGTAGCTCTTTCTTTCAAGGCTTACGGTCAACGGGTGTAATTTCATTTGTGCAGACTTTCTGGATAAGCGTGCATGTAAAGAAATAGTCACAAACAGTTCCGCATCTGTCATCCACTTTGAGCCATTAGCTAATCTTGCACTCATCGAAAGAGCCATGGGCAGCAACAGGAAGCAACTGTGCACTAATTTCCCTCTAATTGTAGTGGCAACATTGTGGGAAAAGCCAAGGGGTAAAGTAAATGTTTGGGCCATCTTATTGACCATGAAACCATCAACCATCAACTTTTCCTACTTTTGTCTTGAATTTGAAAATATGCTGAATTGTGTGTTTTCTATGAGACAGAGGGTGACAAGTAACAGCAAGAGCTTAATGCAGGGGATATTGTGTTCTCTCCAATATAAAGTTTGATGTAGGTGGTTCTATCCCCACACAGTAGCCATTTCCATTCTCCCTGGTTCCTTGTCTCCTGTTCTGCCTTCATCAGTGTTCTGGCTCATCACCTCATGACATCATTGCTGCTGCCCTTGTGACTGGGGGAGAAAAGATAGAATCATGCCATTTCAGGGGACTGTACAGAGCTTCTTCTGTCAGCCCAGAGTGTTAGGAGCTCTCCTGGGAAGGTTGCATTGAATTTCTTGTGATGGACCTATTGTTTCTTTGTCCGATACCCTCCCTGGTTGACCAGGGGCCAAAGAAAATGGTACAACTGTGCCTCGTTTAGACCAGTTCATCCTTTGGGATTGAGGTTGAGTTCCATTCAGGTCTGTGCGTTAGGAGTGAAGGGGTATGGTTGGGAAGCTCACCACTATAGATGGAGCCAATCTTATATTATTTCCTGTAGACAAGATTATAAATGGTCATCTATCTGGTGATCTATATCTGAATGAAACTTTGTATGACTAATTGATATTGTTATCATCTGTTTACTACTTCCTATAACACCAGCATAGGAATATTACAAATATGTAATAGAGTTAATTGTTTAAAAGCTTACAAACATTTACTTATTAATATGCACATTGTGGAATTCATTAGGAATTGCATGCAAACTCTTTGGAAATTATACACACAAATTCATTAGAAACCCAGACCCAATCACAGTTTGGGTATCTCTGTGTTTGTGTGTGTATTTGTGTGTGTGTGACTTGTAATATATTTTATAAGATGAATAGCAATAGACAAATTGCATTAAATTTTCAAATGCAACTTGAATTTAAAGATGCAAATGCATCCAACTTTTAATAAAGACCAAAGAAGGTCATGAAGCCTCACAGTCAAGGCTGAACTATTTGCCTGTGGAACAAAGGAAGTAAATACTTCCCCCTTATCCCCAGTGCCTGTCCTCAGCATCTAGCCCCTGTCAGGCGCTATCAGAGGGTCTTTAGCCATAAGCACATACCACTGTGGTGAAGAATGTGATCCTGACGGGAAGATGGTGGCAGAAGATAAAAATAATGAGCCAAACTTAAGCCTAATGATAGGCTATTTTTTTCTCACACTTAATTATATAACAGGGATACTTTTTTTTCCCCTATGATCAAAATAGCCTGGTATTTATCATCCTGCCATTAACGATTTAATTACTAGTGACTGAGGAGAGAGATTTGCAGGAACCTTAAATTATGGCTAATCTTTGAGAAGAAAAAATGTAATTTAGGGCTCAGATAAGATAAATAAGTTCTCCTGTTGATTTCATGAATAAAGCAAGTGTTTAATATGGTAGACATTAATATCTATGAGACACAGCAGTGAAATACAGAATTTTGAAATTACTTACTCTTTTTGTATCTGTTTCCACCTCAGGCCAGGTGAGGCCCCCCAAGTCAGATTTGCATATGGGAAAATCTCCATGGAATGTTAGTCCATTACATCAATATTAATCATGCCCTCTTAAGAGCTGGGTAGTGGGTACAAGTAAACATCACATCTGAATTATAATTAGAAAGACCATATAATTTATCATGTGCATTGAGACATTTTTCCAGCATAGGTATTTATAGTCTTGTGTAGATAAACATGACATTATTACAAAAAGATATAAATTTCAGCAAATTACTTCCATCCTCGTGAATTCTTTGAAATCTGCCCCAACCAATTTTCAGATTGTCCAGCAATTAACATAACAGGAAGGCGCTGCTGACCCTTCTCCATATTTCCTGATACTTCTTGAGCTCGTGCATCATGTGGAATATAACCCCCACAGAAGAATAATTCTTCTCTCTCTCCAAGAAGCTGCAAGTGATTTAATTTTACCAGTGAATGTGAGAAAACTGAGCATGCTCAGCTAAGCCCCTTGGAGACACTCTCTGGTGGATCTGCCCACTCTTAGCACAGTGATATTCTGGAATGATCTGTACCTCCTGCATTCTTGGCAGGGATGGATGCGAGGGAGACAGTGGGTGCTGATTAACTGGGGAAGTTGGATTTTAGGGACTTAATTAGTAATAGTTTCATCTCCTTATCTGCTCCAACTGTAAAGGTAATGATGCTAAAAGTCACGTCCATTTGTTTAGTTTCTTCCCCAACAACTCAATATTTCCATCTTTTCTGAGGACTTCTTGATTTCTACCTTGGAATAGGCAGCTGTCTCAAGCCATGGACTGTGTGGCTAATATGCCCAGGTTTGATGTGTGTGTGTGTGTGTGTGTGTGTGTGTGAGAGAGAGAGAGAGAGAGAGAGAGAGAGAGAATATCTGTGAGTGACATATATGTGTGCACATGTGTGTGTGTAAGTGTAGGCAGGTGTGTGTCATTGCACATGTGTGGAAGAAGTCAGAGGACAACGTTGACTATGGGTCATTCCACCTTGGTTTTAGAAAGAGTCTCCCCTCAATCCACCCTCTGGTCCACGAGCTCCTGGGGATTCTGTCCTCTCTGCCTTCCTTGCAGGAGTGCTGGAGTTGCAGATGCGTGAGTCACTTTTCTGGCTTTTACATAGGTTCTGGAGATTTGAGTTCTGGTCTCCATGCTGGCTGAACAAGGCCCTGCACGCACTGAGTCACTTTCCTAGGACCCCCGGCATTGAGACTTAATGGTGACTGATGCTTTCATGTTGAAAGCACAGCTTCCCCTCACAGTGTCGTATCGCCTGTGCAGCCCTGGACCAGATACCTTGATTTGATTATTTTATTTCACTCTTTTACTTCATCAAGTAGACTTGAGTAGTTTAACTTTCTATTAAGAAAAGTTTCACTATACTTGGTTCTTTCCCCTTGTGTTAATTATTCTCTTTTTCAGATCCATTATAAAGAAGAGTATAAGAAGACCAAGGACAAGTGCACCTTTGTGACTGATACTCCTATGCTAAACCATGTAAAAAATATTGGTGCTTTTATTTCTGAGGTAAGGTCTGAAAAGCTGCCAGACGGACTGCGGCTTTCCCTCTTGAGTTTATAATGATAAAAGTTTATATTAAAGTTGGAGAATAATTTTGAAAGAAACACTTAATACTGGTCATATCTAAATTATTTAACTATGAACCAAGTTGCTCTGTGTAAATTGATTTTTCTGTAGTTTTACTATAGTTCACTGGTGTATGTTTATATGGTATATGTGTAGTTTGACTGTACTTATACTTTATGTACAATTACTCTTGAAAATAAATATTTTTATTCATGTAGGAAAAAATTCTGGCAGCATGGCTAATTTTAGAATTATCAAGTTATTCATTTCGTAGTGGGCATATTTTGGTGGTAGATAATTGAATACCATATTGGAAGTGAGTAAATTTTGTCAGCGAAATCCATCAAGCATGTCATCCTGGATAAATAATTTTAAACGAACGCATTCTGAGTGGGCTAAGACTCAGCTTGAGAGAGGGAATGTTTAGGAAGGCAGAGCGAAGGAAACACTCTCTTTCCAGCTGAAAAGCCACACAGCCTCTCCCGCTCTCCCATGAGCATTCAGTTCCACAGTCCACAATGGATCCTGAAGCACCATGTCATAATCTCTATGCTGAGAATTTGCATTCTTCTGTGAACGGACTTGAAAAAGAGAACGAATAAAGCAGCATTGCAAATGACTGACCTCTAGTGTTTTGTAAGTTGTGTCGGAAAGAGATAAATGTGCCACGCTCAGGATTACCTAGTAATGTGGAATGATTTTGAGAAAACTAGTCCATTTTCTGTCATTATTACCAGCATCTTTAGCTGGGGGACAAAAGGCCCATGAGGGATAGGCTCCATCAATCAGCACCCAAAGCAACTCTGACTGGGGAGGTTTACCGAAGCCTCATCCACAGAGCAGAAAGAAACGTCATTTTTCTCTTGCGTTAGCTACGTTATTTATCACGTAGAGAGAAATTCTTGGTGTTCTCAATCTATGATTGATTAATTTTCTTGAAGGAGTTAACTGGAGAGAAAAAAAAATTACAAGTGGTGACCTATCGTTGTCCCTAAAAGCTAATTTTCCCGAGAGGAAATCGTGACTGGCTGTTTGTCTTCTCAAGTAATGTTAGAGCTTGTTTATAATCAGTGCAGGCTAAACTCACACACACACACACACACACACACACACACATACACACACACACAGACATACACATGCAGACACACAGACACATGCACAAACATGCACACATACACACAAACTCTCTCACACACACAGACAACACAGACACACACAGTCACACAGAAATGTGCACAAACACACAGAGACATACACATGCAGACACACATACAAATACATGCACAAACACACAGATATGTACACAAACATACAGAGACACACAAACATACACACACACACACACACACACACACTCACACAGACGTAAATGGGCCAAAGAAAACCAAGAAGGTTTTAATAAAGGACCACTTCTCCTATAGTTGTTATTATTATTGTTATTTAATTATGTACGTTTAGAGGATTTAATGACAATTCCATACATTTACACTTTTATTATTATTTAATTGTATAAATTTAGAGGATTTAATCTAATAATTCCGTATATTGATACCGTGTATTCTGATGAGAACCAGGTAGTTAACTTTTTTTTATCTTCTATAAACAATTTTTCATTATCAGACAGAAAAATAATTGTGCATCTTTCTGAACAGGGTGTGATGTTTCAGTACACACATGGATAGGTCCTGAGCAAATCAGGGAAATTCATGTTTCTTTCTCGTTGTCCTTATTTTGTGTCTACAGCCTTTGTCACCTCTCTTCAGTTTTTCACAAAATAAAAAATAATTTGTTGTGAACTATAGCCACCCTGTAGTTCTGTAGAACACAGGAACACATTCATTGTACCTAATTGTCTGAGTTCCTGTTATCCAACATCACAGCTCTTCCAATGTCTAGTTATCACTATTGTTTGCCTTTCGGTTCTAGACAGTAAATTCTAATGACTTGTATTTTGTGGCTAGAAGGTCTCATTGTTCTCAGACCATTTGTTCACTGGCCAAACACATGGTACTCTCAACACACAGACTTCAGAAATACACAGATCGAAACAGAAACTTCCCCCTGTCCTTCCATATCACAGTTAAAGCTCTCTCCACAATACGCTGGGTTTATTTCTGTCTTTCAGAATATGCCCATCAGATTAATTGACATAAATTTAAATAGCCCGCAGGCTTTTAAACCAATCATGTTTCTAACTCAAGCTTTCTTTTATATTCACAGTAGCAGAGAAAAAAAAGAATGCTTATATTTTTTTCCTTCTTTTTTTCCCATCTTAGGCAAAATACAAAGGAACCCTTAAGGCTGATCTTTCCAACTGTCTATATAAGCATATGCCGGCCACCATTGACAGCGTCTTTGCAAGAGAAGTATCCCAGCTTCAGAGTGAGGTATGACAGAAGTTATTTGTTATTTGGCACTTTTATGAGCATCGTTTTCCTTGGTTATCACATACTAAATGGAACTGGAAGCAACTGGTCTGTACTGCTCATTGTCACAGCTGGAATGGCAGAGAATGAAGGGAACCTCAGTATCAGGTCTGCCGGCCCACATCTTTGCTTCTCCGTGACCCACTCATTGTCCTTTGAAGAGCTGATTCCAGTATCATCCAGTTTCACGATGAGCTTTTGATAGCTACTTCAAGTAAATCTCTTATTTAATGTATGGTCCCTAGCCAAGAACATTTCAGCAGAGTTTACAAAGTCAGGGAAATAAGTGACGGTTGGATTTGGGGCATGCGAGGTTCTCGCTCCCTTGCTAGACCCGTGTTCCGCCAGTATTCTGTTCTGTGGCATGTATTTTCCATTCAGGAGATCTACAGCCAGTACCTAGGGCTGCCACCAGGTGAAAGTCGCCATTTCCATGATTCTAAGTTGCAGAGAAATGGAGGGACTGTCATCGTGAAAACTCCTTTTGAGTCCAGGAGTGGGAAGGGGTTTCCCTGAGAGGAGACTGGCAGCTAAAGCATTCTGAATGTCCTCCATTTCTTGAATTTTCTTGCTACAGAATTTCAAACTAGAATATTTTGATGCTTTCTGGCTCATTGCTTTCTTCATATCCCAATCTGATGATGGTGGTGGTGGTGATGATAATGGTGATGGTAGTGGTGGTTTTATTTTCTGCTGTTTGTCCGTCTAAGCTGGAAGAGCCTCATCAGACTCATTTCCTGCTCTGTACTTGGAGCAGCCCCTAGAACATATGGACTATGAATTCAGTTGACTATGTTGGTTTCCTTCCTAAGGATAGTCTCTCTTCTGTATAATATGTGTTCTTCATGTGTAGTGTAAGTTTGTAGCACACACATGTGCTAGCTGGGCCAGGTGGTGTTCTATTTGCTTTCCACCTTTGTACATTTGTTCCTCCCAACAACTCCACCAGGTATTCCCATTGTAGGGCTTTAGAAGCAAGCACAGAGAGGGTTGGTAGCTTTCTCAAGGCCACACATCCAGTAGAAACAGAGCCAGAAGACTAACAGCTAGCTAATCTGCCTTCAGGGTCTGAGTCCTCAGTGCATCCTGTACCTCATGTCTCCTCCGGTGTCTACTACTTGCTTTCTTATCAATCAATATATTTCTGTTTTAGAAAATATTTTGAAACAGGCTTAAATGTAGCCCAGGTTGACCCCCTCACTCACTATATAGCTTGAGGAGAACTTGAATTTATAGTTCTCCCACATCAGCCCCCCAAGTGTTAGTATTATGAAACCATGTGCCACGTGCCTTGGTACAGCAAATTCACTTTCTTCTTTAGATTCTTTTTATCTTTAAGTAGAAGGTGCTTTGGATTTCGAATAATTTCGAAATGGATTACTCTGGGAAAATACTAAGCATAGAACTCTTCTTAGAACATCTTTAAGTAATTCATTGTTATAAATTTAAGCATTCACTGAGTCCTCAGTTGGGCAATGAGTCTACCTCAGCTATGCAAGACCAGTCTAAAAATACATGATGGTGAGATTCTGCATGGCTGACTGTGATGAGTGTGTCCTTTACTTGCCCTGCCAACATCTGGTCACTTAGCAATTTGTTGATGACATGGGCCGCTTAACAAAGCATGTAATTACAGCACAACATTTGATGTGGGACAAGTAACAATTATGCAAGAAAGAGAAGGCATGCATTCTTATGTTTGTACTTATGAAGTGACAGTTTGGGATATGTGCTGGATAGTTTTATGTCAACTACATATATGCTAACACTTTCTGAGAGAACAAAATCTCAGTTGAGAAAATGCTTCCATAAGATGGGGATGTAAGCAAGCTCATAGGGTATTTTCCTAATTAGTGATTGATGGGGGAGGGTCTGGCTCTTTGTGGGTGGGACCATCCTTGGCTGGTGGTCCTAGTTTCCATAAGAAAGCAGGCTGAGCAAGTCATGGGGAGCAAACCAGTAAGTAGCACCCCTCCATGGCCTCTACATCAGCTCCTGCCTCTAGGTTCATGCCCTGTTTGAGTTCTTGTCCTGAACAGTGCTGTGGAATTGTAAGACAGATAAACCCTCTCCTCCCCAAGTTGCTTTGGTCATGGTGTTTCATAGTAGCAACAGAAACTCAAACTAAGACAGGATACTTGAATTCTATTTTTTTTTTTAAGTCGAAGAGTTTTCTCACCTTCTTAGGAAGCTTATGGCACATCAAACCTTGCAACGCAGCACTTAACTTGAAAAATAATTCATGGAGGATATTTTAGAATTTGTCGTATTTTTGTTAGGATAAGTTGCCATGTACATTTTTACCATGTTCTCCTATCATGGATAACATGAGGGCACCTGTATTCAGCATAAGTTATGAATACGTTCCCTGTGATAAATTTCTGACTTGCTCTAAGAGAAAGCTCTGATTCTCCATAAGCAACCCATATCAAAGGCTGACACAACTGTAATAATGTTTCTTTATATATACAAGCATTCATATTATTACTGTTAAGATACTGATTCTGAATTTACCTGGAAGTAAACGGCAAGAAAGCAGACGTATTACTGTGAGGGTCTGTATGTAGCTTTGATATCCTTAGACTTGAAACAGCAAGTGTCTCGCTGATTACTTTGATGTCCCACTGTCTCCTAAAATAGCCTGGTATTTATCATCCTGCCATTAACTGTTTGTGTCAGCAGTAGCCATAAGCTTCTGTGTCTGCAGTTCATAGCCGTCTATTGTATGGTACCTTAAAAGTAGACTGTGAGTCAAACATATACAGGGTGGCGGGGGTGGGGGAACAAATCTACTAGAAGTAAAACTAAACTTTTACCCATAATCCCCGCACTCAGGAGAGAAATAGGAGGACCAATATTCAAGATCATCCTGGCAATATAGTGAGTTTTAGGCTAGCCTGAGACAAATAGAACCCTAATTTAAAAAATCTACTAACGGATGAAATCCCTGAGATAAATGTAAATATATTAGCAGACACACATATTGTATAGACTATGTGAAACTATCAGCAGTGCGCTCTGATTTGACTGTGCAGCTCCACAGTGCTCCGTGTGTTCTCAAACTGCGAAGAAATGGTTTGGAGTTAGGGAAACATTACAAAATGACAGATCCTTAAAAAATTGAATTTGTCAGAACAAGTACGAGCTTGCATCACTGACATCATTTCCATTAGCTATTTAAAGGGAGAAAATTGCTGGGATAAAGTAAAGCACAGCTGCCTCCGCCTTGATGTAAGCTCAGTTTTAAAGTTCTCAGTAGCAGCTGTAAACCAATCGACTGTTTGCAAGCTGAAAGTAGAAAATTATGCAGCCTCTTTAAGAAAGAGAGCTTTTTCAAACTGTCCTGGATGAGTCACTATTTCTATGATAACTCATAAAACGATTGGCTGCATTCCCTATGTTTATGAAGTCACCAGTGTGGTATTCCGTCTAAAATGCAGAATATAAACGTTTTTCATGGTTTTAGTGACTTGGCCACCCATTAAACCCTCCCTTCCTTTAGAGATACAATGCAAATCATAAGTAACTGTGATGACGGGCAGTCAACCTGTGTGGAGTTTTCTCATTTAACTAATTGCTGAAAATGTAAAGATGTTCATCATAATTAAATATCTTCCTGAGTAAACACACTGTAGCGAGCTGAATTATACCTGGACTATATGAAGTGCTGCATTCGAGTCTTGGGAATCAACCAAATGTACAGGATTGGTTACAGGAACCTAACTGCATAGGATCGGATCAGACTTAAGTATGCTAATTATCAGAAATTCTCACACAGGCAGCAAAAGGAAAATGACCTAGAGATGTGTTAATATCATCTGGCAGTTGGAAAATGATAACTGGGATTTAATTACATAATTCTCATGAGATTGAGTCAGATCATTTGAGGCACCTTAGGAAAGAGGTAGATTAATTGGGAGTTGGATCTTGGGAGCCCCTGGGGAGTACAGAAGTCCAGCCCTTTAGTCCATGTGGATGTGTGGAGGCTTGGAAGCTAGCGAAGGCTGTGCTATCTCATTGGAAGCTCTGTCTTGTCTGCTAGCTGCTCTCACTGCAGCTACACAGATCCAGCTCTGGGACACAGGTTTGGGGGTTTGATTAAAGGAACAATTTTCAACAGAGCTTACAATATTTAGAGTATGTGATGTCCCAGGTTGAATGATCTTTTAGTAGTAAAAGTTTTCAGGAAAACCTAAATGTGGATCCAGAGAGGCCACAGAAGCCAAGAACTGTCCTAGTCAGCTTCTAACAATGGTAAGATTCACAAATGGATGTTTGCTAAACAACAACAAAATAGCCTTCTTCTCCGCACTTCAATCCTGTTGACTGCTGTACTAGTACAGTTAGGTGGGCGGCCAGCTCTGTCTATAAACTCCTATGAGGAGTGTAGCTTCATGAGAATGCCGATAAACTCATTTATTCATTCATTTACTAAAAGTTTATTGCATTTCTCTCTGTGCTAGTCCCTCTGATAAGCACAGGATATTAAAAGATGTGTAAGATATCAAAATATCTTCCAAGGAGCTCATATTGGTGACAAATTCTTGCTTAAGTTCACTATATTCGTTTCACTGAAAGGACACTCTGTTTCTTCTTGTTGAGTACTGTCTGAATACTTATTTTTGCTTGCTTCTGTTTCCTAGTGTCAAGCAATTTCAAGGTCACTTAATAAGCTTGTCATAATTAGACTCAGTGTGTATTGAATTTGCTTTTTGCTTTTCTTTCTTCTGGGTATTGCTTTCATTCATTTCTATATTCTTATTTACTTGTTAATTTGTTAGTCACTGGTTGTGAATTGGTAACGAATTTGTGATTCTTTGATCCTGATTTATTTTTCAGATGTTATAGTGGGATGTGCACATTCAGGGGGTTGAAAGTGGAGTGTTTCAGTAAGAGAAGGCAGGCAATAGATGATTACTCAAAATTAAATAGCAATTAAAATTGTGAAAGAAATAAGGTGATTGTAAAAGCTTAAAGCAAGGGAAGGTTTCCTGTATGACTTTCTTTTATTCCCAGCTATGTTGTCAGATTTGGCTGTTACCGTCTGAGGCATCTTTCACATGCCCTCTCCTGCCCAGTAAAGAGCAAACCAGTAATCATAGCGATGGACAGTATTGGGATGATCTATTCCTTATGGAGGACTAGGCTTGACCCATCTGAGAATTTTGCCTGTATGTCAAGTTTGGACAATTGGAAAATTTAATGGTGATTATCAGATCATATGCCATATTATATAAGTCAATCATCTGAGTCTATATAAAATCAGAATCTTTCATTTAAAAACAATTCATGACATAAAGTAATTCATGGCACTGGAGAGATGGCTCAGGGTTAACAGTGCATATGGATTTTGCAGAGAATTAGAGTTCAATTCCCAGCACTCATAATCACTGGTAACTCCAGCTCCATGAGCATCCAATGCCTCTGGCCTCCTTGGGCATCTGTACCCATACACATATCACATATACCCTCACACAGAAACACACACACACACACACACACACACACACACACGCTAAAAATAATTAATAAATAAAATAATCTTTAAACTTTGATACATTCTTACTGCCCTTCACTTGATCAATTGCTCCCTCTAAATTTAACCTTGCACATTTGTAACCCTGCAAGCTCTCAGTTGTTGAGGATCTCCCCAAACTGCTGCCAAGATTTAAGGCAGATAAATAAAACTGAGGTTTTTAATCTTTCGTTTGAGGGTATTTGAGATAAACTGCAACTTTTGAGATCCGAAGCTAAACTGCGGCACTGAGAGATGAGAGAATTATCTTGTTACAGCCTCTCAGGCAAATTTAACTGTCAGCCTGCAAAATGGAGGGGGAATTGTAAACAGTGTTTAACACACCTCTGAGTGGCTCTAATCCTTATGTGCTTTCGAAGGTTGCCTACAAGCAGAAGCATGATGCTGAGAAAGGGCTCTCGGATTATGCCCACATGAAGGAACCTCCAGAGGTGAGACATGCCATGGAGGTCAACAGACACCAGAGTAATGTAAGAAAACTTTCCTTCCTTCCTTCCTTCCTTCCTTCCTTCCTTCCTTCCTTCCTTCCTTCCTTCCTTCCTTTCTTTGCATTTTTTTTCTGGAAAAATATGAATTTAGGATTATTTTGTTGAGATTAAAATATTATGGCACACTAGTCTCAAGGACTTTAACATTTTTTATTTGAATTATTCTGATGACTGTCGTTAAACCCTTTGTTGAATAGCTTTAAATTGTGAAGCATTTCGGGTACTGTAAATTTTGCTTTGTCTAAGACACATGTGGACTCTGTGACCACTTTGGTTCTCAGCATTTACTGAATTTCCTTTACATTGTGTGGAAGTTTGTGATCTACTCCAGAATGGCAGGGGCACTGGAAGAAAATCCAGCTGTTGTCAGTGGCCCAGAGGAATCACAAACTCTAGTTTTAGGGTTCTCTACTGCACTTTATTTTAGAGTGCTTATGCTTATGGGGTTCAAATTATTGAAGGTCAGATATGAACTATGAAAGCTGGTTTTTAGTAGGTTGGGAGCAGGAGCCAAGTGGGAAGAAGCTAGAAAAAGATAGCACATTCCTTCTATGGTTTGACGTTACCAAGTCCTTCAAGGCTTCCGTACATTTTGATCAATTATCACTATCACTGTGGCTTAGAAACATAATTTCTCCTGAAATTATACCAGAATTGTGACTTTTCTGGCCTCCAAAAATGTATGAACTGATGGTTAGGATCTTGGTAGGCTTGTATTGGCACTGATATGTCCTGTTGTCCTAGGGAGGACAAGATGTCCTTCACCTGTTCTTAGAAACATTCCTGATGTTTTCTCATCATCTCACACAGAATCTGCCCTTCCATGTGGTCCTCTTTGTAAGGTCTATATAAACCCAGAAGCTTTCACTTCAAAACGAACAGTTTCTTCTGCTGACGGCCTTGAGGGGCTAGTCTGGCAGAGTATCCACGGTGTAGTTGCTGGCCTCTTCACTGTTGCCGAATAGTTGTCAGAAGCAACTTTGGGGAGGAAAGAATTATTTGATTCATGGTTCTAGAGAAACTGAAGTTCAGTGTTGGAAGGGAACCGGTGGTTCTGGAGTGGCTGCATCTATGGTAGCAGGAATGAAGGATGTGTTTACATGATCTCAGACCAGAAAGCAGAGATCTAGACTGGATCCAGGGAAAGACATAACATTCAAAATCCCACCAAAACTCATCTTCTTCTGTTGGTCAGGTTCCATTTCCTAAAGGTTCCATAGCCCCGAAAGGCATGTCTTACCTCAGACTTGTCACTGAACATCCAAAACAGAGTCTGTGGTACGCACTTTAGGCTCAAACACTACAGCAGTTTCTTTGCACAGTGTTCGCGATTAAATGGTATTCAATTGCAGCAGGTCAGTGTTTAAGTGAAAATCAGAGTTAGTCTTGACATTATGACCCAAGCATGTAAGCCTCTCACCAGTGCCAAAGTGGACGCCTTAGTGCTGGCGGGAGCTGGAGAAGCAGAGTGTCTGCAGTTGGTAGCAGGGTGGTAGTTTAAGGGGAGGGTTCCCAGCGTTGTTTGCTTATAGAGGGACTATAATATTCATAATACCACTTACCCAGCTCAGCCACATGCTAGGCACTGTGCCAAGGCTGGTCATTTCCGGTTCTTAAATGAACTCCGTGTTGTGTCGCATTTTGTAATACAGATGAAATCAGACCAAAGAAATCAAACTCCGAATTTTACCTTTTCCATTCTTCACAGCTGCTCCCTGAAAGGCCACTGGCAATTAGTCAAGATTTTATCTGAGAATTAAAAGGGTGGGAGCAGTATGGGTTATCATCTAAATTCAGGTACTCTGTAGGGAAAAAAAACAGTTCAGATCTTGGCATTTCCACTGTTTGACACGGAAGAAATCTTTTTTTTTTAATTTATAAAAGTTTATTAATTTATAAAAGTTTCCATTTCCGCCCCTCCTCCAGCACCCTCCCACTCCCCCCACTCCCTGTCCTCCTCCCTCTCCATCCCTAAGAGCAGTCAGGGTTTCCTGCCCTGTGGGAAGTTCAAGTTCCTCCCCCCTCCCTCCAGGTCCAGGAAGGTGAGTGTCCAAACAGACTGGATCCCAAAAATTCAGTATATGCAGAGGAAACAAGTCCCAGTGTCATTGTCAATGGCTTTTCAGAGAGACCCCGTATCAGCCACATTCAGAGAATCCGGCCACATTCAGAGAATCTGGTTGGATCACGTGCTCGTTCAGTCCCAGTCCAACTGGCCTTGGTGAATTCTCATTAGATCAGTCCCCTTGTATCAGTGGGTGAACGCACTCCTCACGGTCCTGCCTTTCTTGTTCATGTTCTCCTTCCTTCTGCTCCTTTTTTTAAAAAACACTTTTTAAAAAAGATTTATTATTTATTATGTATACAGTGTTCTGTCTGTCTGTATGCTTGCTGGACATGAAGAGGGCACCAGACCCCATTACAGATGGTTGTGAGCCACCATGTGGTTGCTGGAAATTGAACTCAGGACCTCTGGAAGAGCAGTCAGTGCTCTTAACCTCTGAGCCATCTCTCCAGCCCCACAGAAGAAATCTTGAATTCAAATGCAAGCCTGGATGTTAGAAGGTGGTCTGGTGGGCTGGGGGTGGGGCTAGTGTTCCATGCATCCCCAGAAGACCTGCCTAACTCCGTTGTTCACTGAAGTTCAAATACTGAAGTTTCTTATCATAAGACCCAGGCTTATTATTTTAACTCTGTCTTTTCCTTGAAAAGGTCTGTGATTGAGGGCTTGGGGGGCTGGAGCCTAAAGCCTCCTTCTCCTCCATTCGCTACTGTGTACTTATGGGAAAAAGATGTGTTTACTTACATCCCTCTGTCGACTTGGCTCAACCTTTACATGCAAAGTTTGTACATATAATAGGATTTAGAAACTGTTTAAGACTATTTACTCAGATTTAAAGTGAAAATGATATTTGTATTCTATCTTGAGGTAGTTGATATTCTTCCTGAGCCAAGCCTCGCAGAATAATACATTTGCTGTCCTTACAATATGAACTTTAACACAGGCCTCGGAAGTCACAAGGAGAGCTAGGACATACACTTCCCGCTTTAGGACCAGATATAAAACATTCTCTCCCGGGAACTTTAGTCTGAAGAACTGTGACACAGAGTCTCATAGTAGATTTCTGTAGAATTACTCTTTTGCAGTGGGGAATGTTGCTTTACTTTTGGATATAAATGGCTTAATATCAAATAAAAGCTAGAATCTAGGGAGATGGTATTGTGGGTAAAGGCTTGTCGCCAAGCTTGATGACCTAGTTAGATCCCCGAGGCCTACATGGTGGAAAGGGGGGAACTGTGTCTGACCTCCACATGTATGCTATGGCATAGGTACACATCCACACATCCACACACACACACACACACAGAGAGAGAGAGAGAGAGAGAGAGAGAGAGAGACAGAGACAGAGACAGAGAGAGAGAGACAGAGAGACACGGAGAGAGGAAATAATAATAAAAATAAATAAATGCTGGATTATCTTATGAACAGTGAAAGTCAGCTTGTTAGCTTTTTGTGTATCCACACAGATATATCAGTTTTCTAAGATCTGTTAACCAAGAGGCTGGGTAGGCAGCAGTACTCTGGAGCCTACTTCTTTTCTGCCTTACCTCTTATTAGGATGCTCATCAGTGAAGATGCTGGAGTGGGTTCCTTTTTCAGTTTTTCTATTTAAATATCTATGAAAAAAATAAAGATTCCGATGGTTCAACTAGATTTGCACCTTCAAATAACTAGGAACTCTAAGAAAAATAGTATTTGGGGTAGGGGTGGGTAGTGGTAATCTCTTGCCTAACTCAAAATTTTAGTTGAGTGATCACAGAAAATGAAAAACAACCCTTTTAATGATGGTCTCCACTAGAGCGACATTAGAAAGGGAGTTTGGCATTAGATCATGACAGAAATGTTTGCTTTGCCAAATAGTGTAGATGACCATGGACAGGTTGCTTGTCTATAGAGCCCGGGTCTCGCATCTCTCAATGGGGTCAACCGTGCTACTGATGCCCAAGGATTAACTTGAGTTTTAAATGAGATGGTATCTGTGAAGAGCTCCGCAGAGGGTCTCCTTGCTTCATGAAAGAGTAGGCCTTTCTGGCTTCCTCCAGCCTTGAGAGGTTAGAGCGATATGACAGTTGGCTCAAACCAATAAAAAGAAGTTCAGTTTTTAAAGGGTCAAGTCACTAGGAAAGAAATATGAAGAGTGTATTAGGTCAGAAAGGCGAATTCAAAAAGGTCCCCAAATCTCTCTCTCTTGTTGATACTATCATCAAAAAATGATTCAAACCAGCTGATCTAAATCCTTTCACATTTTAAGGGATGTGCCCCTGGCACATTTTTCTAATATAATTAGAGAAACTGGAAGTATTTTTCTCCTGTGATTTTTTTTTTTCCCCCGAAAGATGGGCTTGTAATGAAAACCTCAGCTCTATTGCTCCGGCCCATCAATCTTCCAAAGATGGGAGCCGGCCAGTCATTCTGCACTAAGTCGGGCGAATCTTGAGTAGGCGGTTTTACTTTTCTGGGTTACATGGCTTGTGGTTTGACAGGAATGGTCAGTTTCCCCAAATTTGTATGGATAATCATTTCAATATGCATTAAAACATTCTCAGTGTGAGAATTATGATTAAGACTTAATGTCTTCTCCAAGTATGATGTATGTACTGTCTGTCTTAAGAGTAATAAAAACTTATCTGCAGTTAAATTTCTGTCACATCAGAAAGTGAAAAGGCTTGCAGATAATTCCATAAAATGATACTAGAAAGTGATTGTGGCTTTCTGAGGTTCTCCATGTGATTTACAATAACAGTGACTTAGGATTTAGCAGTAAAAATAGATACATTAATGTTTGGTTCATCTCTCAGTAAGCATCGTTAGAATTACCTATTCTTTCTCTAGAAGGCTAAGGTGGTAATGAGATTAAACTGTGAATAAGAAAGTGTTCATTAACTATCTAATTACTTATAAACAGTGGCAACAATAGTGATAGATTGTCTTAGCTATAGCTGTAGTTTATTTGATCTTTTAGAAAATCAAAATTATTTTCTCTCAGCTGTATGGCATCAGACCATACCTCTACTTAAAGATTTATATTCTGGCATAGAAAACAATGTTTAAGTGAGAGTAAGGAGGGGTTTTCAGGAGGCTGTGGTTTAGCCAGTGGTCCTAGCTAGTATGTACGAGGTGCCGTGTTTAGTGTACAGTGCTTAAACGAAAACAATCTCAGTCTATGTGTCAGTTTGGTGGTATTGAGAAAGGTACTCTGAGAGCAGCATTTCTGATGGTTATAGAAGGTTTCCTTTAGAGCAGCTAAACTCTGACCTCCTTTAACTCTCTGTAGGCTGTGCTACTCATTTCTCCCCCACCAACCTCAGAAGTCTTCTTTCTTGTCTAGTTTTGCCTCACCGAGAGCTATTCGGTTCTTCACTAGAGTAGCAGAGCGGCTGGCTTTGGTCCAGTTAGATTTGTCACCATCAGGTCGGCCTGCTTGCTCAGTGCTTGTCCTCTGCAGGTGTCATCCATCTGAGCCTCTCTCTCCCCTCCAAGTGCATCCATCAGCTTCTCTTCAAGGGCCATCCATGGAGGCTTGGCTTCTGTTCAGTTTGTGAATTCCCCAACCAGGGAGTCTCGCATGACCATTATGTAATCCTGAAGCTTGTGACTCCCTGCGTCTGTGTCTGCCTGTACTCAGAGAGCAGACACTCATTTTCTTTCTGCTTTCAAAATCCCATGGGCATTCTCTTGATCAGCCCACTCTAACCCATAACTAAAAAAGGAGGTGATGAAGGATGTGGTTCCAGTCCTGCAGGAAGCGTCGCTACAGCCCAGTTGAGTTTAGACCATCCTCAGCAGGGACAGGGATTTAAAGAGTTCATGCACATAAACTATTTAGCATAGCACGTGACACACTGAGCACATCACACGAATGAAGGAACCCACAAAAGACATGGCCCTTATGCAGCAGAAACAGAAATACTGAAAGGAGAGACCCCATGGAGACTAGTAGACAGCAGAAGTGCGTGGAGGTGCGACACAAGGGCGGAGCTGGACATAGTGAGACAGGGGCGAAATCCAGGGCCAGATCATTGGTGGAATCCACCTCTTTATTGGAGGTGATAAAGGACAGATGTGACTCTGCAGAGAATCCTGAATGGATGTCTCCAGGATTAGTGACATGAGTCCATCTATGCACCTTTAGTAAAAATGGGCAGTTTGCTGATGATATACAGCCTTATATTGGTATCCATGGCTTATGATTTTTGTACATACAAAAAATTGTGGATGTCCAGGTTTTTTAAATAAAACAGTATTATTTGCATATGAGTTTTGTATATCTGCTCCCATATTTTAAGCAACTTCAAGATAATTCACCATACTGATTATAATGTTTAAATACTAGGTTAATGGTGGTTGTATTACTTCGGGGATATTGACGCAATTTTCTTTTGTAGATATTTTTAATCTACAGCTTAATCCAAGGTGCATAGTTATAATTGAAGCTGGAGGCCCCAGCCATAAATAGAAAGCTTAAGCTTCCTTCAGGCAGGTTGGACGCAGACTCGCTCATGTCCTCACAAGAAGCCCTCTCCTGCCCCACAGCTTGGTTCTGTCCAGTTCTATCCAGTGTCAGTTCCGACTGACCATGTCTGTGAGGACTTGAAGAGCCAGCTGCTTTCTCCAACTGGTCATGTCTGGAGCGGCTGGCCCTAGAGGAAGAAGGCTGGCATGTTATCCCGCTTCCTCAGGCCCTGTGGGTGACTCTAGTCCTGGTTAGTCCTAGTCCTGGCCCTGGTCATGGTTTCTAAATGGGTGTGCTACTTGGTCAGATACCCAGGGTGTACGAGGCCTCCACTGCATTCGTGAATACTACCTAACCACATTGAAAGTCTGGAAAGTACTTTCCAAGTAAAAAATGCTAGGGGGAGGGGGCCGTGACTCAGTCTGTAAAGCACTCACCTCCCAGTGATGAGGACCAGATTACGAACACCCAGAACCCAGAGACAAAGCCAGCATAATGGCACACACCTGTAATCCTGGCGATGAATGGCAAAATGGGAACAGACAGGTCCCAGCTACTCACAAGCTAGTTAGTCTGGCCTGTGTGGTGAAGTTTCATGCCTGTTTAGAATAAAATGTAGAGGATACCTGAGAACCTAATACCCGAGGTCTCTGATCTCCACCTTCATCTGTACGCACGCACGCACGCACGCACGCACGCACGCACGCACGCACAACAGGAGGTCATACTGCCACCCCCCACATTGTCAGCCATCCTAGCAGACGATGTGATTGGCAGCTTGCTTCCTGAGTGTCCTTGATGGCAGCCTCCCTTTCCTGCGGCGCTTCCCTATCAGCAGTGCCCTGGAAGACGGTGAACTGGCTGCTGTGCTTTTCTCCTGCACGGCTCTGTGGTGTCCTCTTGTTTGAATGTGCAGCTCATGTCAATCTTAATATTTGTTTTGAGTCGCATATGCTGGCCTCTAATTTGCAATTTACATGGATGATAGGGCCCTATTCAAAATCCTGCTCCTGCCGCCTTTGTACCGTTCACCTCTCTTCACGCAGTCATTAGGCAGAACAGCATATAATTAGGTAACCCATGTAAAGCTGAGGTTTCTGAAAGGTTGTAGTTCTTTTCAAAAAGTGTGGGTTTCCATCTTTCCCCCCATTCTTCTCTAGACAAAAAGCCATGTCCCCCCCTGGTGACTTTCCAATGAACGTAGAAACGTAGAAGCAGTTAGTTGTGGAGGTGGGTAATAATTCTGGTTTGTTTTCACCTGAGAACAGGTTTTTGTTTATATAGCTCGTGTTTAACTCAGTGTAGGCTGGAATTGAGCTGTTGTCCTTTGCAGATGAGTATTTTGTAGTCAATGAAGTTGCCCTGCCCAAAGAGTTCCAAACATTTAAAACCCACTCCACAAAATAATTCAGTGTTCAGTGAATTTTTATATATCTCTTACTACTTGTATGCATAAAACCTACCTAAAATTACTGGTTAAGACAAAGCTTATGAGAATCTAAGTGACAAAGAAAAGAGATGTTTTTGATGAAATTACACTAATTGTGTCTAAGCTGTGTTCTCCTGTCAGGCAGGTTCATGATTGTAAATGCAGTTTTAAAAGATAGTCTTGATGTTAAAGCAAATGCAAGCTCATGAAAGATAAAGCAGACGCTTCGCATTTCTCTGAAAGGAAGTCACACAGTGCACTGGAAACCCACTGAGTATTAATGTCTGATTATTTTTATTCCCGGTGATTGCCTTTGAAAAAAAATGAGAAATACAGTGAGAACTTCTATAAACTCTGAAAGGTGAAAGGAAAATGACAAGCAGGTCAACATTACCAATACTGGATCACAGTGATCAATTAGGAATTTATTGAAATCAGATACTTAGGCCCTGCTTGCCAACATTCTGCTACGGAGGATTTTAAGTGGATCGCAGAGATGTAAATTTTTAATGAAGAGTCCATATGGTGCCATTACAGAAAGTTTGCTGTCAGCAGAAGGAGTGTGTTGTGCCATTTGTATAGGTAACCCAGTGGCTCACACATCTGTAGTGTACTCTTTTATGTTCTGAAAAAATAATAGATTTTAAAAATGACCATATACTTTGCACTATAACTTTAGCAGAACAAATTCTAATAGACAAGTCAGCCTGCCTCTGGCAACACTGCCAGACAGAGGTGCATCTGACTGCTAGGACCATAGGTTTCATGACGCAGAGAAGCAGGCGATGAGGAGATGTTGGGCATCTGCGCTGCCGTAGTTCTGTTCTAATCTTTCCACCCATCTGCCAGTCAAGGTGATGGGAAGAAGCCACACAACCCAAAGTACTCCACTTCTGTTAACTCTTGTCTGTTTCTCTCTTTAAACCTCTACTCTTCACCCTGTGACTAATTTGTGCCTAATACACACTCCCAGTGACAAGATTCCTTTATATAATTATCCTTCTTTGGTAGAATTAGATCATAGCAATGTCATAATCTATTAGGAGATAAGTGTCTCCCTGGCATGAATATCTGAGGAGTTCAGTTGGGAAGGAAGAAAAAGGTACAGTGGCTAGGGTAGAGGCTGCTTCACCACCTGCCCTCCCTGGGGGAGTGATAATGTGTATTTGTCAGGGATTATCTGCATCTCCTGGATGGATGGATGTGAGTTGGATGGGACCAAGGATGTTGTGTGTATGCCAGGCTATCAGCGTACACACTTAGGTACCAAACCATTTTCATAGAGCGATGTATAGAAAAATACTTTCAGATTGGTTTGCGCCCTATTTTTGCTTTCCTATTTCATAGTATATATCTATTTCAGACACACCGATGAGACATAGGATAGTATAAAGAGTTAATATATCAGTGAAATGAATGATAAGGACAAAAACCATGAAAGAAGTAACATAAGGTCAGTGTGCTCTTAAAGCTATTGTGGCAAGGAGAAATAATTCTATACAAGTGAAGGTAGCTAGATGAAATGACTAATTTATTCTCTTTTCCAATCAAAACTGTCTCTTTCATCAGATTTCTTATAGAAAAGATGTGCAGGACACCCACACGTATACAGCGGAACTTGAGAGACCGGATATCAAGAAGGCTACTCAGATCTCCAAGATCATAAGCAATGTAATTTATCTCTCTGAATCTTGTGCAGATGCGACTTCTTTTTTATTTTGAAGGGAGACAGAGCACACCATTGGTGGTTGGGTGGTTAATTCAATTAACATAATCAATTCATTTGAATTAATGACAGCTCGATTTTGTCCTGAATTATCCATTCGATTATGTAAATTTTGGGGATTGTGCATGAATTGCCCACGTTCAGCTCGACTTTGTCTAGTATTAGCATATTTTTAGAGGTATGCGCACTACTGGGTATATGGCCACATTCAGACGGCTTAGCTTGGAAGCCAGACTTGTCAGGCTTCTGATCCCGCTTAATCTCTCACCTTACTCCCATCCAGGGAGCTCAGCTTGGCCTCTTCCCATCTGTTGCTGGTGATGTGCCGATTCTCCTCTACCAGCATTTGAGCACATTCCCGGCATGCCATGGCTGTGTCTTCTCTCCTGGGGTACTCTTCCAAGTTCATGCCCTTTTGCTTGAGCGCACCAAACATCCTGGTTAAAGCTAACTATTGGACTAGCATGGCCCATGCCCTTTAAAAATCGATAAAGAAACTACCTCAATTCCACCGCTCGTACCTGTTTCCATGGACAAAACGGTAAATGCTGTCTGTGTGAAGAATGCAGTCTCAACTCTCGAGAAAAGCCCCTAGTAGTTTTTAGAAATAAGTATAAAGATGATGATGACTGGCTACTTAGATTAAAGCAAGTAATTGTTTCACTGCTAAAAGCTGAATTTACTCAAAGCTATAAAAAAATTCTGCTTTAGCAGTCACTATTTTAGTATTCGGTTGGCTACATGAAACATTTTTAATGGGCCGTGGGATTATTATATTTTAGTTTGACTAATATTAATGTAATGTGAAGTAGAAATATTAAAATTTTCTCATTATTCACTTTAGGCGGAATACAAGAAAGGGCAAGGCATAGTGAATAAAGAGCCGCCTGTAATCGGAAGACCAGACTTTGAACACGCGGTGGAAGCCTCTAAGCTTTCCAGCCAGGTAAGCCTTCAGCATGCTCATCCTTCAGAGGTTTTATTCAGAGGTTTTATTTCAAGGAGCATGGAAAATATTCCCAATAGATAATATCTTTAATTGTAAGAATAAACAGAGGTAATGTTTCAGCTAGGATTGCAATAATCACCAATTTCAGCAGAGGAAAAAATGTTTAATTTTCAGAACAAAGTCCAGTTTTCTTTCCTCTGGGCTCACACCCGAGCCTGTTTCAGTGAGTCTGGCCATGGCGTATTTCCAGAGATAGTGAGAGCTGATACCAGAAGTCATATTTTTATGCACATATACACAAAATAGACACACATACTATTTTAACTTAGTAATAAAGTATTTTCTCAATTTAAAAGCATTTTCCTTAATTAGAAAATAAAACAGGCAAGAGATAATACAGAAAACCTTGAAATCTGGTTTCAGAATACAAGACCTGAAGAGCCCACAAACCTGGAATGCAAATAGATTGGCAGTTTAGCAGGTTAAAATTTCAATTTTCCCAGAATTATCATATAAATGCCATTCAGTTTCAATTAGAATCCAAAAGGATTACTAAGAATATGGCTGAAATGAATTTCAAGTTTCTGTGGACACGAGTTGCCTGAAAGAGCCTTTAACAGTGTGAGAACGGAGATCAGTGAAGGAGAAAGAATAGGAAGCCATTTGAATACGTCAGTGTGGGGTTAGTATATATTGAGAGGTAAAATAATCAATGGGCTAGAATGACATTCCTGAAATAGATTCTTGTATGTCTAAGAATTTAATGTATGGCAGACGTATTGACTCAAGTCAGTGGGGAAAGTTAGACCAGTTAATAAGTTGTCCTAATGTCACTGGCCACCCATTGTGGTGAAAGAAAATTGGATCCACATTTTTAACCCTATACAAAAATGAATCCCAGGTAGATTAACGTATGAATGCAAGCCAAGTGCAATTCCACATTCCTACAAGCCCAGAACTCAGGACTTGAGGCAGAAGGTTTGCTGCGCTACAGAATGAGACCCCACCTCAAAGCAATGCAAAGCCAAAAACAAACAAACAAATGCCAATGAGCGAACCAAAAGATGGAAACATAACAACTAAAATATTCTAGCAAAGTTCAGGGGTCATTATATAGCACCTAAGATTTGTACTTTATCGAGACCAGACATCCAGAGGTTCTAATGGAAAAGTCAGACACAATGATTGCACGAAGATTCAAATCTCTGCTGCATGTGGTGACTCACACTTGTCATTTCAACTCACAAGGGGCTGAGGCAGGAGGAGCGTGATTCAAAGGCCAGGCTGGACTACATTCTGAGACCTTGTCTCAAAACCCTCAAGCAAACAAGTAAATCAACAAGGGCATTTATTCAGGGGGAAGTGACAGAGTCAGCTGTAATGCTAACAAACTTTGTTTAAAATGTGTTTATAATTTTCAGTTGGGGGAAGAATTCTCTTCTTTCATTTCAAAATGGGGCAATAAAAATAGACAAAAATCTAAAATATGACAGAAAAATGTAAAGTAAATCTTAAGTCTAGAAATATATTCTGGGCTCTTGGTTTGAGATTATTGATACTCAATATCACTATAATGTTATTTCTTCCAACATTAATTATAAAGGCTCTATGTAATTTCAATTCAAATCCAAACAGTCTTTTCAAAACTGAGAATCAAGTTAAATAACCGAATAAATTAAAACAATCATAGAATTTGTATAGGCAGGGAAAAACTGGAAATAGTTTTTCAAATAATAAAATAAAGAACAGTTATCTCAAAATATTTGAAAAGATCTATAATACACATGATAATCTACTTTAATATCTATTTTTGTCCTAAGCTCTTTTTCAATGTGTATGCATGTGTGTGTACAGACTGTACATCTGTATATAAAGAAGCCCCCAAAGGTCAGAAGATGATATGAGATGAGCTGGGCTTGGAGTAATAGGTGGTCGTGATGAACCATGTAACTGTGAGGAACCAAACCTGGGTTCCCTACAAGAGCAGTGAGTGTTCTGGGCTGCTGCAGTACCCTCATAACTTCTTTAAGGTGGAAACAAAACTATCTAAGAGCTCAGTAGAAAATGAGAAATGAGGTAAACAGGATTCTACAAAGAGGAAACATAAATGGCTAATAACTATGTGGAACGATGCTCAGGTTTATTAGGAGAAAAATAAATGCCAACAGTATTAAAATGAAATGTCATTTGTACCCATAAGCATTCTGTCTCTTGCTAGTGTGGGGGAGAAGGATGTGCTGTTGGAAAGGTTTTGTGGAGGTGGTAGTTTTGAACTAGGCTGCGTTTAAATGGAAAGAAATCTGTTCAAGAGGAAAGGCTGGCCTCTGTGAGAGATGAAACTCCCATGGGCCAGCTGGGAGTGGTTGCAAGAACCACACAGGAAATGATATACCACTTAGAAGTCTCCATGGTTGTAGTGGAGAAGGGAGGCAGAGAGAAAGGATGTGTGTGAGAGATGCAGGGATGTAATTGTGACTTATGTTAATTGTTTTACAGTTGGCCATGCCTTTTGCTTATAAAACAGCTTTGTAGCTTGGGGGGCCTCTAAGGCATAGGAAGATATGCTCAACAGTCTTATGAAAGACCTCAGGTAGCTAAGATGAGCATCCCTAATAATGCTTGTTATGAAGGCAAGAGAGCTTGGACTTGCTTTGGGTTTATGTGTGTGTGTGTGTCGGGGGGCGGGGTGTTGGGTGTCATAGACCTCATGTAGAGGTTAGAGGACAACTTCCATGATGTGGGTTCCACAGATCAAATTCAGGCTATTATAGCTTCACAGCCAGTACCCTCATGAGCCATTTATCCAGGCCCGCCCTGACTTTATGTACCTCCCTTCCTTTGCTGTGGATAGAAATTTCCCATCAGCCATACAGTAGATTCTACAGAAGCAGTGTCGTCCCTTTCAGTGAGTAGGAAACTTGGCAATGGAGCAAGACCTTCTGGCGGACACTGTGGTTCTGTTGCTTGCTTGCTGAGTGACCTGGGACATGCTGCTTTCTTCCTCTGTTTCTGTAAGACTGACCTGACAGCAGGATTAGAATTGTGATTGCATTGTTAAAACGGATACCCAACCTGCAGATCCCACAACTCCATAAAAATCATTTTTTTTAAAATTGATACTTAGAGCTTTGTTCTCATCCTCCTTTCTTTTAGATGAATTCATAGATAGGGGTAGAGCGGCAGCAGTAACACTCACTCAGACTCCACATTAATTTCACTCCATCCAGCCCTTCCTGGAAGTCCTTAAAGAAAGTTCCAGCCTGAGTATTTTCACATTTCAAAGTCAGCCCACAAGAGTGCTTCATTTGATGCCCCACCCCCTTGGGTTTTTAGAAACATGTTTTTTTCAGTCTCGATTATGTAGCCACCAACTGATCAGATGCTTAAACCGGTTGCAGACTGCATATTTTCTGTGCCCATCAGCTTTCTTCTCCTTCGGTCTTATGGTCTGTAGGTTTCTGAAAGGGAAAAGATAGGAAGCAGAGACTAGGAGTCCTGGAATGGCTTGCTTTATGTGTCTGCTCAGCTGCATCAACCTGGAACCACGGCACAAAATGCAGTTTCTTATTTTCACCAGTAACGTTGGAGGTCACACACTTACTGACCCCTAAGCCGTTGCCAAAGGCACACACATACATTGTTGGTAAGGACTCAGGAATTCAGTAAGCAGGGAAAAGAGGTGAAGTGAGCGTGTGGAGAAGGCAAAGACGCGGCAGTGGGCTGCGGTGTAATGGCAAGGCACGCATGGGGAGGAAATGGCAACAGAATATGAGTGGGAAAGATGCTCACATTTGCCTGTCTGCTGAGCTCCGTGGGACTTCACTCGGGCCAAGCAACAAAAACTGTACAAACTATTATACTAACTTGAACAGTTGCTTTAATCTCATAGATATAAACTTTTCTTCTTAAAATTTTTTAAAAATATTTATTTTAGGTGCTTTGTTTGCATGTGCATACCTGAGCGTGTGTGTGTGTGAGTACGTGTGCGTGTGCCAGAGGAGCCCAGAAGTGTCTAATGTCTAGACATTAGAATGCCAATGGCTAGAGTCCTAGGCAGATGCAAGTCACCTGATGTGGGTTCTGGGAACCAATCTCTGGTCCTCGGCAAGAGCAGCACCCATTTTTAGAAGAAACCATCTCTCCAAGTGCAACTTTCTCTTTGAAAGCTGGGAAGATACATAGTATTATTATGTGTAGTTGTTTAAAATTTTTAGGAAAATGAGTTTCATGTGCCAAGACAAAGATGCTAGTTTATGTGCACCTCAAATGTAAATGGATTGTCATCAACTCCAAAGTTCTAAGTGAGGTTAGTTTGATACTATGTCCTTCTATCATCTGAACTTCATATTTGGAATTTACATGCAGGATGATTTTGTATGCAGGATTAAATTCTTGGTTTAGTTTTATAGCATCAGAGAAATAGTATGCATAAATTAATATTTGTTACAAAATTGCATTTTTGTGTTGATAAGAATGAATTTAAAACTTAAAGGAACCAATATGGAAAATTTAGTAATAAAAGTATCCTTAAACTGTTAAGGGTATTAATTGGCTTGGAGATGCTCCCATTCTTCCTTCCTGGAAACACACACTCTGCCAATCTCCTCACACTGCCAAGCATTAGCTTAAATGTCACATCCCAAGTTGCCAATGTGAATGGATCTCTGTTCATTTCTGTGTAATTCTTGATATGGTTTGTATTAGTCCCGGATGTATTTATGTCTGTGTTTTAAAAATTGACTTGGGTTATTGACCCTATGGCAAGTTCTGTAGTCTAGGACTTTTCAGTTATACAATAAAATAGATTATGGTATTGATAAACATGTGGATGTCTGTTTAAGGATTTTGATTCTTAACACTTGATACAAAGATGATAATTATATTACTTTGTAAAGAAAATAAAGGCACATAAGTCTCTGAGTTTAGTACTCAGACCCAAATAAAACAGAAAAGAAAATGTAAGAAGGAAACAAGCAAAGAAGGAACGAATGGAAGAAAGAAAGAAAGAACGAATGAATGAGAGAGAGAGAGAGAGAGAGAGAGAGAGAGAGAGAGAGAGGGGCACAGGTAACATTCTGCTTAAAATTCAGACTTAACATTTAATTGTTTCTGTGATGATTTCTCTTTTAAATTCTTCAGTGTTTTCCTTGTTCACTTGCAGTTCAATTTTAGCAAAGATTGAAAGAATAATACCTTGTTTTCTGTAATAGTTAAAGTCCACTCCTCAAATTTTTCATTTTCCCTAACATCTGTTTTCATGGCTATGCTGAAGGTATGTCTTTCTCTCCTTGATGGCTCTAGGGAAACCTGAGCATAGGTGATATCATGAGGGAGCCAAGCACCTGAGACTTGAAAACTGATGAGTTTAGAAGTCTCTCTTCCTAGTGGCATTGCTCTGTCTAGAGGCACTTAGATAATTAGTTTAAATTCTGCCATCATAGCTTACCAGTCACAGTGGAAACTTCCTAAAGTCTTGTTATAGTCAAAATTCCTTAGAAAACATCCAGAAGTTTGATTTTATATAATCAAGCATTCTATATATTTATTAGAAAGTGGTGGATATCTGAGCCACTATGTGTGACACTCCTAATGTAAATAAAGTAACTTCACTACTTAGTTCTAGAACTTCATTTATTTGCGAAACAGTGGCAGTGGGTAGAAGGAGTAACATTCTATCCTAAAATCAACACTTGCCTTCCCCCTCCAGTGGTCTCATAACTGGCAGGTATGTGCTTTGTCCCATGCTTGAGTGAGCAGTGACAGTCATGGCACTGCAGGGACCTCTCTGGAGCTGTGCGTGTGAACAGGGATTGAAAATGGAACAGAATGTTGAGCATGTCTGTTCAGTTAGGGAGACAGACAGTTGGAAGGTGAAAGATTTGACCCACATACGCCATGTGATTCTCTTCATTCATGGATGTGCAAATCATGGAGAAGGTATGAGGCAAGATCCTGCTGTGTGTCAGCGTTTGCTCCATGTATTTTTATACAATGCAGTTATTTTGTGTTAGTTGGTTAATGGTGGAAACGCTTTTGTTTCATGCGCATCTTTTGAAATCAGATCACATAGACAACCAAAGTTTAGAATGGAAACAACTTTACAGCACTTTGTTTATTATTATATTTAATATACTTATCAGAATGATGTGGGCAAGAGATTGAAAATTATTTCTAAGAAATATGTATTTACTTGAAAGAGGAAATGCCGGGTTCAGGAACAGATAAACTACCGTTTTTGCTTCTCACGCCAACCTATACAATCTTTGCATTTGGTGTAACTGTGCAGCAACTCCCTGGCATACAAAGAGAGCAGGAAACATGCTGTGGGGGTTAGTAGTTGTCAGCTTGACAGAGTCTGGAAACACCTGGGAGATGGATCTCTGGGAATGCCTGTGGGGATTCTCTTTATTATGTTAACTGATATTGGGGAGACCCATCCAAATTGTGGGTGGGATCTATGAGCAGAGGGTCTTGCACTATATACAATGGAGAAAGAGGGCTAAGGGGCGAGGATGCATTCATCCCTTGCTTCTCTGCTGCTGTCCGTGGATGACACATGAGCAGCTGTCTCTAGCGGCTACCTCTGTGGCCTCCTCGCAGTGACGGACTGCAACTTGCAACTGTGAGCGAGAAGAAATCCTTTCTTCCCCAAGTTGCCTTGGTTCTTGGTGTATTTCATCACAGTAACGAAAGAAACTCAGACAGGCTCTCTGGGGCAAAAAACAGATAACCTACTTTCTCATTTCCATAACAAGTTGGTTGCGGAAGTGATTGGAAATGTGCCCATCAGTGTGGCACAGCCTATCAGCTAGTTAGAGTAGCCCAGCTACTGCCCAAGAGCAGTCCCTCTAAAGCGGCTGAGCAGAAGAAGGCGGGGCTCGGAAAGGGAAGTGCAAGCGTGAACTTGGCCAAGTACGAAGGATCCTTGAGTGAATGCCAGCTCAAGCCGTCTAGGAAATTTAACCTTTTCTATTTGTGCTGCTGTCTCTGATTTCAAGGTGTAAAAACAAGCTAATTTAAAATCATATTTTTCCTTTTGGAAATGCTTACCAATTATTTAAAATAAACATATCAGGCAGCACGAATATCAGAAAATTATTTTTAAATGGAATACACAGAAGGTACTTTTTCGGTGCTGTATTCCTGTCAAACCTTTACCAGCTTGCTCTCATAGACACCTGGCAGGTATCCCGGAAGAAGACCACCGCCCCAAACAGGGCCATGAGAAGAGTCATTTTCCAATTCTGTTTAATAAGGACTACTGCAAGACAGAGCCTTAAGCCATGAGGATAAGTGTGCTTTATGATCATATTACAAGAAAACAAAAAGTATGGTATTTTAGAAACATCATAAAATTATAGAAATACAGTTAGGTTTTGCTTTTGAAATATGTGCATGATCCGTCTGGCAGCATTCATCAAGAACATGTGAGATATGAGTAACTAAGGTGTTCTTTATCTATTCAGAGAGAGAACTGGTCCCCACATTCTCAACTACAATATGCATTCATATCATTATTTATCCATGAAAGAATAACTATAACTCTAAGTTGATAACCCTTCTCTTGTTGTCTAATGACTAAAGAAAGAAAAAATTATACTGAATATTGAACATACTTTTTTCTGCTGGATTGGTTGAGGAGTTAGAGCAGAAAAAAGTGTAGACTGTCAGTAAGCAGATACAGAACGTTATAGAAAATCTGCTTCCTAAAACTTAGGCTTTGAACAGTTGAGATATGGATGTTGCGGAAAGTATAGTTTTAAAATGAATCTTTGAACAAATGAAATGTGGATACCAACTGTATTCTTTATTTGGAGTAATTCTCTCTGGAAAATCCGTTCAATTTCTGGTTCCAATGACCCATTTTCTAAGTGTGGTAGACCTTAAGAAATGTGTGCTCTTACTTCTAACTGATCCTGGGTTTCAGGGGTACAGAAATGGGAGTCAACATGTGAAACATTCATATTTCAAATGCATAATTCTCATGAGCAGAGTATTTGATGCTAGTTCATGCCTAATGACATTCATGACCAATATTCAAGTAGCACATTAAATTTTCCTAAATGCCTCATTAAGCTTTATGGAGGAGGAATGAATATCAGAAATTTAAATTTTGTAACTATTCATTTGAAGGGTAGTTTTTATTTGATCTCTTAAACAAAAACCCAACGTGTTATTTTCCCTCCGAAATGGGTGACTTAATTCAGTCTGTCCTTTTCCTTTATGGCAGGTTAAATATAAAGAGAAATTTGATCACGCACTGAGGGAGCAAAGCCACTGCTACAACCCGCTGGACAGTGCTGCTTTCAGACAGCAGCAGCTCGCCACTGCCCTGGCAAGTGAAGTAAGTTGTAATCTACAGAAATTGCTCTCAATATCTTTTGAGTCTTGTTTTCCTAGAACTAACTGTGTTCTAATTACTGATATTTAATCAAGATCATGTAATTTCCAAGTAATTTGTAGTTGAAAACACTGAAGCATATTTTCCTGAAGCTTTTCCCCCAGAAAAGTATATTATTATAATTTGCTATTAATGGTTACTGATTACTAATTAGTTAATAAGTAGGAACAGTGGTATGAATAAAATTATTATGTCTGATCAAGAGTAGAAATAGATTATAGAGTTTTGCAGGAAAGAGATGTGTGTTATCACAAATTACTAGGTAGGACAACAATTAACTCATAATTATAGCCACAAAATGGGGTTTATTATAAAGCACTACCTGTTACATGGGGGTTTGTCAGAAAGAATTTGTCATTAATTGTGCTGCTAAAGGTTTACAATTTCATTCTGTTTTGTTATGTTAAGTGCTGTCTTTGTAGATTCATTTTCATGTTTTTAAAAGTAAGAAGAATTCATTTGATAAGAAATGATATTTCAAATTCTTACTAGAAGGAGACATTGTATAAAAGCAAAAACATTGACAGACAGATCACCTTGCTATCCTTTAAATGTGCACAGACCCTTTCCACTCAGGAAAATTGAGAGGTTGCTCCCTGAGACATCAGCTTGGCTCGCCGCTACTTCTTGGGTCTGGCTCGTTTTTCATTTTCCTTAATGTTTAGAAAGTATTTATGGTCCATAACCAGTCTTAGTTTGTCTCTGAGACGTTAAGTGAGTAGACAAGTTCACCTCAAAGAGCCTCGAATGCTCAAGGCTGAGTGAGGGTCAGGTTGCCTGAATGTGATCCTGTTCAGCCACTTAGAATCCTGTTATGCCTTCAATCTTTCTGTGCCTCAGTTTCCCCATCTGTCAAATAGGAATGAAACAGTCAACAATTAGGGTGTTTGTAAAGATTGTTTCCCACATACAAAGTGTTGTGCATGCAGCTCATGTTTAATACGCTTGATACTGATATCTGATTCTTATTACTATATTAAATTTTAACAAAATAGATTTACATAGCTACAGAATGCAAAGCTGCAGGATCTTAAAATTACAGTAAAGTAAAACTAAAGTAATTCTGTAGCTGCGTGGGAAGAATACAGCAGTGATTCTCCTTATTTTCTAAAAGTAGAGTTTCTACTATAATTACATAAGTGTGTTAACACCGCCGTTTTGGAATATATAAACAGTACAAGAAATTTAAATGTTTTCAAGTCCGTAAATAGCCATTTTACTCATTCAGTAGTGAATCAGCACCATCTAGTGGCTACTTGTAAATCCTTCTGCACTAACAGGACCCTGAGTGTAAGGAGGGGGAAAAAGGCAATCGGGCCAACACAAACCTGTTTCCTTCTGCTAGATGGCATTTTGTTCCATGTTATTTTTGTAGGTGAAGTACAAGAAAGACGTTAAAACTATGCACGAGCCCGTTTCAGATCTCCCAAATTTGTTGTTTTTAGACCATGCTCTGAAAGCCAGCAAAATGCTCAGTGGAGTAAGTGAGCTGTCTGGTGGCCATTGTAGAGTCGATGTGTGTCGTTCTGAGATGCCAGTGTTCCTCTTGCTTTGGGGCTTACCTGCTTCATTAGATGTGTTCTGTGTCTCTCCTCTCCAACTGCTAACTCACTGAAAAGTAGCCACCTGCCTGTACAAATCCCACAGTCATGGCCCCTTTTAAAGAATTCTTTTTCTTAGCTTAGTCTTCACCCGTTGACAGTTTTGTCCATGTACGAAATACATTTAGTCTTTTCAGTCTGTATTACCCTATCTTGCCCACCATCCAACCCTTTCTTCTTGCCAACATGTGCCCCTCCTTTCATATTTGTGTGTTTGGCCCACTGAGCTTAACAAGGCCTGCCTGAAAGAGCAGGGGTGGAGGTTATTTTGTTGGAGCATAGACAGTGGACATGGCTAGTCCACTGAAGAAAGTGATACCCAAAGTGGGCTCTTCCTAGCTCCTCACATGTTATGAGTACAAACATACTTGTTGATAAGCGAGCATCTACTCTGTCTTCCTTCTTCCTGTTTCTTTATCTCTATCAGAATAAAGCCACTTGATGTTCATGCCTTGCAATCAGAGATCTTCTGTTATGAGAGCCATACCGGTGTATCATAAATGTAATGTCTTCAGTAGCAAACATTTGTCATGGCTGAAACTATATTTTCTCTGACAAGAAATCATGAAGTTGCTTTTATTGCATGGCCTCTAGCAGTTTAGTCCTGAGATGGATTCCACGTTATCTGCAAGTCAGCAATGAGGGCTTTATGTCCTGATGAAAACATTTGTGTTTACTGTTAGCATGGTCAGTTCCTCAGAACTCTGGTCTTCTGGAACACTGTGTCCACCCTTAGTCCATCTGGATGCTGACTTCACTAGTTCCTGAAATGATGACCCTTGGTCCTCCATGGTTCCACTCTGTTCATGTCCAGATCCCGTGTCTTAACAACCCCATTATTTCTACACCTCTTTGAATAATAATCACCCATTCACTTAAAAGCATCCTAACTTACAGAATAACCCAAATCAGATGAAGAAATACAGGTTGGGTAAGGTGTAAGGAAAAGTGAAGGTAGTCTTTTAAATAGCTGAGCCCACGGTCTTCAGTGTAAAGCCCCAAGACCGGATCTCTAAGCCTTAGTCATAGAGGATCTCCAGTTGTTAGCGCTGGAAGACACCATTTGCTATTTGTATGTCTACTCTCTTGCACGTTGTCTCCACCAACCTTCTCAAGGTATCCACTGCTTGTAAGTGCTTCACATTAGCAGAGATTAGGTTTTAATTTACTTAAAAAGTGTTCATCTTTGGGTCAGAAGCAGTATATTACTGCTTCCCGTGTTGGAGCCATGTTGACAGGTTCCCTTACATTGTCCTGCCTTGTCCATGTCCACCCCTCCACCAACAAACATACCCTAACCACACCAACACACATACCCTAACCACACCGACACACATACCCTAGTCACACCAACACACATACCCTA